GTGTCGAGAAAATGCCACGCCTGCTATGCCTGGACGACCCTGGCACGCATAGGGAGACCACCCCCTGCGCACCCCCTCTGGTGTCGAGAAAATGCCACGCCTGCTATGCCTGGACGACCCTGGCACGCATAGGGAGACCACCCCCTGCGCACCCCCTCTGGTGTCGAGAAAATGCCACGCCTGCAATGCCTGGACGACCCTGGCACGCATAGGGAGACCACCCCCTGCGCACCCCCTCTGGTGTCGAGAAAATGCCACGCCTGCAATGCCTGGACGACCCTGGCACGCATAGGGAGACCACCCCCTGCGCACCCCCTCTGGTGTCGAGAAAATGCCACGCCTGCTATGCCTGGACGACCCTGGCACGCATAGGGAGACCACCCCCTGCGCACCCCCTCTGGTGTCGAGAAAATGCCACGCCTGCTATGCCTGGACGACCCTGGCACGCATAGGGAGACCACCCCCTGCGCACCCCCTCTGGTGTCGAGAAAATGCCACGCCTGCTATGCCTGGACGACCCTGGCACGCATAGGGAGACCACCCCCTGCGCACCCCCTCTGGTGTCGAGAAAATGCCACGCCTGCAATGCCTGGACGACCCTGGCACGCATAGGGAGACCACCCCCTGCGCACCCCCTCTGGTGTCGAGAAAATGCCACGCCTGCTATGCCTGGACGACCCTGGCACGCATAGGGAGACCACCCCCTGCGCACCCCCTCTGGTGTCGAGAAAATGCCACGCCTGCTATGCCTGGACGACCCTGGCACGCATACCCTGCGCACCCCCTCTGGTGTCGCATAGGGAGACCACCCCCTGCGCACCCCCTCTGGTGTCGAGAAAATGCCACGCCTGCTATGCCTGGACGACCCTGGCACGCATAGGGAGACCACCCCCTGCGCACCCCCTCTGGTGTCGGGCCACGCCTGCTATGCCTGGACGACCCTGCCTGGACGACCCTGGCGCATAGGGAGACCACCCCCTGCGCACCCCCTCTGGTGTCGAGAAAATGCCACGCCTGCTATGCCTGGACGACCCTGGCACGCATAGGGAGACCACCCCCTGCGCACCCCCTCTGGTGTCGAGAAAATGCCACGCCTGCAATGCCTGGACGACCCTGGCACGCATAGGGAGACCACCCCCTGCGCACCCCCTCTGGTGTCGAGAAAATGCCACGCCTGCTATGCCTGGACGACCCTGGCACGCATAGGGAGACCACCCCCTGCGCACCCCCTCTGGTGTCGAGAAAATGCCACGCCTGCTATGCCTGGACGACCCTGGCACGCATAGGGAGACCACCCCCTGCGCACCCCCTCTGGTGTCGAGAAAATGCCACGCCTGCAATGCCTGGACGACCCTGGCACGCATAGGGAGACCACCCCCTGCTGTGCATGGACGACCGTCGTGCACGCGGCCGCGGTGAGAGACCACCCCCTGCGCACCCCCTGTGGTGTCGTGTACTTGCCGTGCACGCGTCGAGCGCGGGTGAGGAGAGGAAGGAGGAGAGAGGAGATGAGGTGTGAGGTGAGGTGAGACGCGGGTGCGCCGCGGCAGGGAAGAAAACCTGAACCCCACGAAACATGTGGGGAATCAAGTATGTGGGGTGCTGCGCTTTGCTGTGCTGTGCTGTGCTGAGCTGAGCTGAGCTGTGCTGAGCTGTGCCGTGCTGAGCTGAGCTGAGCTGAGCTGTGCTGAGCAGTCCTGTGATGAGGAGAGGAGGTGTGAGGTGAGACGCGGGTGCGACGCGGCAGGGAAGAAAACCAGAACCCCACGAAGCATGTGGGGAAAACTCAGAATGTTCGGCACCTGCGGCGGGCTGTTTTTGAATTCCTTCCAGGTGGAGGTGGAGAGGCCGCGACCCACCCGCGACCCAAACTACGTTCACTGAACAAGCCAAAACTTCGGCACCTGTACCAGGTGGAGAACCTGCGACCCAGACCGCGTTCAGTGTACAAATCAAAAGTTTCGGCGCCTGCGGCGGGCTGTTTTTTTGAATTTCTTCCAGGTGGAGGAGGAGGAGGAGGAGAAGGAGGAGGAAAAGGAAGAAGAGGAGGAGGAGGTGGAGGAGATGGACGACGACGACGACGATGAGGACGAGGACGCGGACGAGGAAGAGGAGGAGGAGGAGCAGGAGGAGGAGCAGGAGGAGGAGGAGGAGGAGGAGGAGGAGGAGGGCGCCATCGACAGGGAAGGTGAAGGCCACGAGGTCCGCCGGCTCGTCGTTGATCGTTGACCGGCGCCCGCGCCCACCCCCTCACTCTTATCCGCAATTGCGGGGTGCTACGTATGTTGGAGTGACGCCGATTGCGCCCGCGCCGGAGGTCCCCAAGGTCCTACTCCACCACCTGTCGCAATGGCCGCGCAGGAAAAGCTGTCGATGCGAAACAAATTCCTTTCGACTTCCGCTCGGCACATTCAACGAAACCCTGGCACCTTCCACCAAACATGGTGGGCAACAACGCGTGCGAAGAGCATTTGACGGCCGCCTGTTTGGTGTAACCTTCTGCTCTGCGTCATGAACTGCGAAAGCCGTGTTCGAGCGAGCTTCCTGGCTGGGTGTCGGGGCAAAGCGCGCACTTCCCAGCAGACGGTGGCATTGCGCTTCAGACTGGCCACCTCTTGTTCGACAAAACTGGTCGCGTCCTGTTGTACACGCGGCGGTAAGTGGCAAAGCTCCGCCCTATGAGAGGCAATGGCGTCAGCAATGCAACCAATAGTCATAAAAACCTGGATTAGCCAAGAAACGTGTTTGGTGAGTTTGGCTTCATCCTCCGCCAGGTGACTCGGAATGCACTCCAAAGTGAAACGAGCACTCCTCTCGCGAAGCGCTAGCCACAACTCAAAAACAACTCGGCGTTCTGGAAGATCAGGGTGTGACGAAAACCTTTACGGAACGTTTTCGCATGGTTCTCGTGGTCGGTGCCAACGGAATTATCCTGGTCAGGCGCAACGCGCCGAACAACCCCGACAATTGCAACCAACTCAGCTGTAGGGTATGCCGCCTGCCTTCCAAACTACCGTGCCGTCCGTCCCACATACCAATCGGGCTCGGGGCAAGGACGGCACAGTCGAGCAAAAGGCAAACAAGCAACCCCTCAGCAGCGGATCGGCTGCCAGCGGGCCGCCCGAGCCATCGGTGCCACATGTGCCAGCGGGAAGTCGTTTGGCCAGCAGCGACCCTCACCAGCGAGACCTCCTGGAAGTCGGGAGGCTAGGGATGGCGAGCCGGCACGAAGGGATCAGTTCTCTGCACCAGAAGATGGGTGCAGCGGCAGCCTCCTCACAGGCTTGGTGCCTGAGGTGATGGGTCTCCTGCACATTCTGGCTGTTGGCAACTGCATTGCACAAGCCTATGAATGGAACAATCGGCAGATAGCCTCCACGACCAGCTTGGCATCTGCTAAACGCCCTTCAGGCCAGTGGCCCCTACAGCCATCAAGACGAGCCATGCCCGCAAGGGAGGTCTCTCGCCCTTTTCCTCCTGGGAACGCAGGAGGACCCCCACGTGCTGCCAATCAGTGCCGTAAGCTGGCTCCACCACTGTCGTAAAACTTGAAGGCCTCCCGCCACTGGCGAAGCTCAGTGCCGTCGCTGACTTCCTCCAGGAGGGAGGGAAAATGAACCCTTCACGTCGCCAGCGCGGGCCCACGTGCCGCCACCTGGTCCACGAAACGATCGAAGCCAGGCACCGCCAACGAGATCCCCGAGTTTTCCTCATCAGAGTGCGTCCTCGTCCTGCCCTCAGAGGGCGTCCTCATCAGAAGGTCTTCCTCATCAGAGGGCGTCCTCATCCTGCCCTCAGAGGAGTTTTCCTCGTCAGAGTGCGTCCTCGTCCTGCCCTCCCGCTCCCCCTCGGAACATGCCGCCCGGGCCTGTCCGGGGCCGCGTTCTGACTGGAAGCTTCGATGGGAACGTCCGCGCCTCCAGGAGGCCAAAAAGCACTCAGACACCGTGACCGTCGTTCCTCCTCCACCTTGATCACCACGCTCGTCTTCGTCGACTTGCTCCTCCCAGACCCCCTTCCTCTTTTGGGCTGGGCAGCACAGCCTGCCAGGAGAAGACCCCGCGGTCCGCGAATGGTTTGGGGCCTCGTGGACCACTACGGACCAAGGGGGCTATCGTGGCCACGCCCGCTGGGTTCGCGCCCGTGAGCTTCGCACCAGCTTGGGAAAGAAGCCTCGCCAAGCACGGGGCGCTGTAAAGCGAAGGGGGTCCCTGTAGGAGCAGGGGATTGCCCTTCTACTTCTCCCCCTCCTCCTCCTCCTCCTCCTCCTCCTCCTCCTTCTCCTCCTCCTCCCCCTCCTCCGCCCCTTCTACTTCTCCCCCTCGCCACCCATCCCACACCAGACGCCTCCAGAGGTCCCCGGAGCTCCCCAGGAACTTTCTGGAGCCCCCCGCGGGCTAAAGGAGGCCCGGAAGCGTCCCATCCTGGCCTCCTCCTCCTCCTCCTGTTCCTTCCTTCCCTCCTTCCTTCCTTTCCTCCTCCTTCTTCTTGCCCGCAAGCGGATCAGAAAGCGCCAACCCCGCAGCGAAGCAGGAGCGGAGGTCACATGCCCGAGAGGGCGTCGTCGCCTTGGACACCGCAGACGCTGACGGCCACGACGACCGCAAAGACGACGACGATTCACGACGAACAACGACCCACAACCGACGCCGACGCCGACGCCGACGCTGACGACGACGACGACAACGCCGACGACAACGACGACGGCCATTACGACGACGACGACGACGACGACGACGACGACGACGGCGGAGGCCATTACGACGACGACGACGACGACGACGACGACGACGACGACGACGACGACGACGACGACGACCACGGCGGCGCCGACGACGACGACGACGACGACAACGACGACGACGACGACGACGACGACGCCGACGACGACGACGACGACGACGACGACGACTATGCAGACGCAGACGCCGACGACGACGCAGACGCAGATGCCGACGATCGCGGCGCCGCGACGGCGACGTGGCGCCGCCCCGAGGCGCCTCCTCGGAGCGCGCGGGCGCCGCGGGCATCGCGAGCGGCGCCCGGAGCTCGCGGGGGTCGTGGGCGTACTGGCAGGAGGCGTCGGTGCAGGCCTCTCCGCTGTGCGCCTGGTGCTGGGCACCCGGATCATGCACGGAGGGGACGGGTCTCTCCTCCCGTTTCCCTGTCCTCCTCCTCCTCCTTCTCCCTCCTCCTCCTCCTCCTCCTTCTCCTCCTCCTCCTCCTGCTCCTGCTCCTTCTATCCTTCTCCTCCTCTCCTCTCCTCCTCCAATCCTCCTCCTCACCCTCCTGATCCTGTCCTTCTCCTCCTCTCCTTGTCATCCTTTCCTTCTCCTCCTCTACTCCTCCTCCTCCCCTTCTCCTCTTTTATCCTCTTCCTCTTCCTTCTTATGTTCTCCTCCTTCTTCTCCTCCTCCTCCTCCCCCTCCTCCTCCTCCTCCTCCTCTCTGCTCCTCTCTCCTCCTCTCTCCTCCTCCGTTCTGCGCTTGTGTTAGGCACTCGGGTCGAAGGCATGCGAAAGTTTTCGAACATGTTCGAAAATTCGATGGTTCTTGGGAGAATATCAAAAATTGTCATGGGCTTTCGTCGGTTCCTGGAGGTTTTCCAACCTCGGGGTGCTTTGCAGCGGCTGCGCCTCGTAGGTTCCCGGCTCGCTCCGAACGGCCGCCGAAGGCCCGAAGTATGCCCCGAAAACAGTCGTGACACGACGATCAGATGTTTTGAATCCTGTCGTCCTCGATTTCGGCCTCTTGGTACTTGGGGCCCGTTAGTGGGCCGCGGGGCCAGCAAGAATCGATCAAAGGCTGGAAAACTACCCACGGGGCATGAGTCGGGACCCAAAGCCGCGCATCGAAAAAACACACATCGCTGGGCATCTGGCATGAAGGAGCCCAGTCCTGAGGGAAACCCATCCTGGATGTTGGGGTCTCCGTTTTCGGGCTCCCTGGGGCCGCGCATGGAAGAATAACGCAATCGGATATTTGTTGCAAGGGATTCGTGAACACGTGTTATGTTAGAACAAAAAATGTCACCGTATATTGTATTCTGCAAGGGAACCGAAGGGGGGCCGATACCGGCCTGGCTGGGATAGTATGAATTCATAAGTCGGATGGACAATGGGTCAGAATCACATGTGTTTTGCACAAGTTCCCGGGGAATCGATAAGTCTGGGGGGGGAGGGTGGTAGAACACCAGTCCTGGATTTCTGTTCGCCGCCTTCAGGCTTCCTGGGGCCGCGTACTGAAGACAAACATCATCGCATGTCTGGCATGGACGAAACGGGTCCTGAGGGAATCCGGTCCTGGATTGTTGTTGGCCGTTTTCGGGCTCCCTGTGGCCGCTCACTAAAAAAACAAAATCGCAGGACTAACAGGTCCTGAGGAAATCGGGTCTTGGATTTTTGTTTGCCACTTTCTGGCTCCCTGTGGCCGCGCACTGAAGAAAAACTAAATCGCAGGACTGGCATGAACAAAACTGGTCCTGAGGGAAATCGATCCTGGATTTTTGTTCGCCTGGTTTCGGGCTCCCTGGGGCCGCGCGCTAAAGGAAAACAGACTCGCATGTCTGGCATGGACGAAAGGGTCCTGAGGGAATCCGGTCCTGGATTTTGGGTCGCCTTTTTTCGGGCTCCATGGGACCGCGCATACGGGTCCTGAGCAAAAACCGATCCTGGGTTATTGTTCGCCGATCTTCGGGTTTCTGGGGACGCGCACTGAAGAAAAACAAAATCGCTCGTCTGGCATGAGCGAAACGGGTCCTAAGGAAAACCCCTCCTGGATTTTTGTTCGCTGTTTTCGGGCCCCCTGGGGCCGCGCACTGAAGCAAAATATAATCACATGTCAGTCATGGACGACGCGGGTCCCGAAGGAATCTGGACCTGGATTCTGGTTTGCCAACCTTCAAGCCCCCTGGGGCCCTCCGCAGGCCCAAGGGTCCTCAGCAACACATTCTCTGGGGCCACAAGATGTCTGAGACCTTGGCGTCTTGACTTGCGTCTGGCATGTCCCCCTACAGGCAGATGTTCGACGAACAAATTCTAAACACGCAATAACATACTGAAAAACAAGTGTCAACATAGTCACAAGATAACGTCGTCCCCAGATTTCGTTTTTTGGGGGGTATTTTTGAACGTTCCTCCTGCAAAGGGACAAGCCCGACTTAAGTCTTGACTCTGTCCATGTGGGGGCCGCGGAGATCTCGACCCACTCATTCCCGGACTGGCTTTCCGTGTCGTGCTTGGACACAAGAGCCGTCAGCAACAAGTTCTCGGGCTCGGGATGGAAGGAGCTGGCCCTGGGGCCCAAAGATATGTCCGAGGTCTTGGCGTCCTGACTCTGTCCATGTGGGGGCCGCAGAGATCTCGACCGGCTTTCATTCGTGTCGTGCTTGGACGGCCCCCCCGGGCCGGGCGAGGCCTCCCGGGGCCGAAAAGCGGCAAAAGACCTCCGTCTGGGCTCTTGGATTGCGTTGGCTCTCTTCTTGGGAGTGCCCTGTACCTGCTCTTTTTGATTACGTTGGCTGTCTTGGCTGAATACACGTCATTGATTTCAAATCGTGCTCAATTCTAAGTGTGCTCGTTTCTGATTGTTCCTGGCCCCCTAGTGACGTGGCCAGGAAGGTGGCCCAGGACAGAATAATTAGAAGTGACAGGATCCTGGCCCCCTAACAAATCGAAGAACCTTCGAAAAATTAGAAATGAACCATGTGTACGTTCGATTGCGCTGCTTACTTTTTGACTACGTTGATTGCGTGGGGCCAGGGACCGTGTTGCTCAGGAGCCTTTCCTGCACGGCGGCTGCTGCCGTCGGCCTCGGAGGTCTGGCCGGTGGTGCTGCTGCGGCCGCTGCGCTGATTGTGGGCCCAGGACGGGCCCAGCCTGGATGTGTGAGGTGGTCCGTTAACGTTCCCAGAGAGTGCTCGGCGTCGGTGGCCGTTCGGGGAACACGCGAAGATCTCGGGCCCCCTCCGGGGGCCCCAGTTCGCCAGACTCGGGGGCCTTCCCCACAGGAGCCCAGGCCGCATCGGCCCGAAGATGATCCAGCGGGCAAAGGATGGTGTAAGATGATCTGTGCCGCCTTCGGGGGCGCCAGTGACACCTCGGCTCGGAAGTTTGTACCACCACGGCGGCTCGTGGGGCGTACATCTCCCAACCGCCCTGGGACAGCACGGCGGAAAGGTCATATACTATATACAGATAAGTCTGGCCATCGGCCGATGGGGGAGATGGGGACAGGGTGGGACCAACGACGGGACAACCATCGGAACGACCGTGCCAATCAATCGAACAATTTGAATCGGCCTCTCTACAACAAACCTGTCTCACTATCTCTCGATGTTTCTGTCTCACTCAATGTATAACGCTGACCTACTTATCGGTTTCGCTGTAAACACCTATCGGAAGTTGGATAATGAGTTCGCAATATAACGGAGAACCACCACAAGGAAATCGGTCGTGGTTCCGTGTTCGTGTCGTGCGTGCGGGCGAGGCGAAGCTGTGTGGGCGGGCGAGAAGCCCGCCGCGACTGGGGCGAAATTGAGCTCAATGAGTCTATGCCCCCCGGTTGGCCGGCGGTGGCTCAGGGTCTCCCGCCAATGTCCCGCCGGTTTCCCGTGGTGTCCCGCGGTGTCCCGTGGCGCGGTGTCCCATGGTGTGCCGTGGTGACCCATGGCGCGGTGTCCTGTGGTGTCCCGTGGTGTCCCGTGTAGTCGAATGGAACATCGATAATGAAATCGACAGACAAATCTACAATGAGATCGATGATGAGGTCGGCTTTGGGATCAGTCGATCGTAAGATCGAAAGATACGGGAAGTTCGATCGTGAGATCGATGTAGATAGAGAGCGACATCGACAGGTAGACTGTCAAACAGACGCTCCGTGGTGCCCAACTGGCTTCCGCCGAATCCGATCCGACCCAAATCACACACCGAAAGCTGAACTCCCTCCCACGCACAACCTCCTTATCACCCGAAGGGGGGTTGTATAGGTATCGCTATAGATATCAATGCCACTACTGATCTATATGTATCCGTACCTCTGAACCCGACCTATTCGTCGGTGTGTGTGTATGTATGTATGTATGTATATATATATATACGTATCAATCGCCCTCACTATATCATCAATCTCACGATCAATCATTCGGTGGACGATCGGGACATCCATCTGGGCAATCATGGGGAAAATCGGGACAACCATCGGGACAACCGTGGGGACAACCGTCGCGATAACAACGGGACAACCACCGGAACAACCATCGGATCAACCATCCGGACAACCGTCGGGACAACTGTCAGGAAAACAATCGGGACAACCATCGAGACAAAATTCGGGACAACCGCGGGACAACCACCGGGACAACCGCAAGACAACCACCAAAACCACTATCGGGACAACCATCGGGACAACCGTGAGACAACCGCGGGACACCCGCCGGACAACCATGGGACAACTGCAGGCCAACCACGAGGCACCATCCGTCAACTGGGGGGGGGGCAGACAAGCATCTGCTCTGACTTCGCCAGAGCAGCGGCGGGATCACGCCTCGCGAACGCGCACGCAGGCTTCACCTATCCCCGCAGGCACGGCACGGGCACGCCACCGAAACCGACTTCACAGTGTGGGGTCCCCGTCTCACTTCGATCTCATCCCCCAAACCCCCGAGCGCCCTCTGTTCGCGAAGGTTAGGTCGGGCGTATCCTACTAAAGGCGGATTTTGACAGAAAAAAAAAACACCAAAAATACTCCAAGTAAACTCAAAAATAATTGACAAATCGTCCCCAGACTGTTTTTTAACTATTTTCGAATATTCCTCCTGTAGAGGGACACGCCCGACTTAACGCTAAGGTGATGGAGTTCAGCCGACGTGCTGGGCGGTGGCGCCCGCATCCTTGCAGCAGGCGCGCACTTTTTCATCCCCGGGCCGCGCCCTAGGGCACATCTTCGTGAAGCGGAGGTCCGGGATCGGCCTCATCTCCGCCTCGCTGTGGGCGAACAGGCACCGGTTGCGCTTTCTGCAGCGCCCTGCGATGACAGGAGGGCCAAAGAGCACACAAACATAAATTCGGAACGACCGTGGAAGGCAGATGTTCGCCAACGCCTGACCCCCTCCTCACACCCGTGAAGGCGACTTCGGCGCGGCCCTCAGCGCGCACCGCTGGGAGGGGAGGAGGTCCCGCGTCATTGGAAATCGGTCAACCTCGGACGCCCAGTGTCATGTACTGCTTTTTGGCCTCCCAGATGAAGTAGGTGCAGAGCTTAGTCTTCTGGAACTTGTCCCTCGCCGGATACTGGCACTCTCCCTCCAGTTCGGTCCTGCCAGTGGGCTTTCCGCATCCGCCGTGACTGCTGATGGGGCTGCCAGCAGCTGTGTTCAAATCTGTGACCATTCGTACCAAGGCCAGTGGTTGCTGTTTTCAACCAGAAACGCGGCCTTGGGGAACTTGAGCCACACTGGTTGCGGGCCCATTCAGAAGTCATTGTCGCAGGGCACGGCGATGATAAGAATTCGATCGGATTGCGAACGCTGTGCTTAAAAAAGCATGTTTGTTCATGTATGTAGGTGTATATCTATAATACACACATGGCATGCGTAGGCGCACATGCCTCGATGTGACCGGCTCCTTGCAAGCACCTTGCAATTGACCTCTCCCTTGGGGCCCTCTGTTTTTTCCGCTGGCTTCAGCCGACCCTCCGCCAGTAAGCGCAGCTTCTGAATTTCCCCGTGGAGGTTGCAAAAGCATTGTCTCATGCTGTGGTGCTACAGCCAACTTGCAAGCCTCAAGCGAGGGCAGCTTCGGTAATGTAAACCAAAAGAACCTTCTGCCAGCTTCCGTCAGCGAAGCCGCCGCCTTTTTGTGCAATGGTGTGCGCACCCGCCCAGGACGACTGTCTGAGGACAACCGTGCCGCCTGGGACGACTTCCGCCTGGGGCTCTCCCAAGAGGTGTCGCCAAAGCGCTGGTGTGCTTGGATGAGGACGACCTAGCAACCTTTCTGCAGACTCTGGGACCCAAGGCACTACAGGGAGGTTTTTATTACATGGGATTTTTCTTACATGGGATTTGTATTATACATGGTCGTAGACAAGGAAATAAACGATTGCGCGCGGGAAAACATAGGAATAATACTATATGCTCGCAGACTGGGCAAAATGATCCCCCCGCGCGCGCAAACCATGTATTAAAAACCTCCCTGTACGTGGATGCCCCCTACAGGGCATGTCCCCCTACAGGGGGACTTTGGACGAAAAATGAAAAAGACTCCCAAAATAATCCCAAACGGTTGGAAATAGTCAAAAATCGTCCCCTGACTATTTTTTGACTAGTTTGGAGTATCCCTACTGTAAAGGGGCAGGCCCGACTTAACACTACGTGGATGCCCCCTCCTGCAGCCAGGTGCCGCCTGGCCGGCGCACCAAGCTCCCGACACCTGGCACGCGGCACGCGCCCAGTCCCTGCTGGTGAGGCCCGACAACGTGGCAGCGGTATTGTCGGCGACACTCAAGAGCGACCCTGGGTAAGAGTGACCTTTAGTGCGCGGACTGAGGGGGCGCAAGGTGGCCAAATCCAAGGGCGCAAGCAGCCACTATCGCATCGCGCTCAGCGGTCGGGGGGACCCCGGTGAGCCCGCACCAAAGGTCACTCTGGCGAAGGGTCACTCTTACGTGTAGTCGATACTGGCCGACCTGGCGCGGATCCCGCCCCCCGCCTCTCCCAGCCTGGCGTGTAGGAAGGTTAAACCAGGAAGCCCAGAGATCCAACGTATCAAAAAAAACAAGACGTAAATTTTTCGTATTCTTCGGCCTCGAGGGGCCCTCGCCGGGCCCCAGGACCGTCAAAAAACGACTCAGGACGAAACACCGGTCCTGGGAAATGGGTCGAGACTTCCGGGGACCCCGCATTGAAAAAATCACGACGTCGGATCTCTGGAAGTCACGGACCTGATCCGCGCCTCTGCGAGCAGGGGCCAGTCTGACCAGGGTCTTGCCCCCATCATGGTAGACCACAACATGGACGAGGCATGGCGGGGCCTCGCTGACAAGAGGCGGAGCATGGAGCCAGGGAGATACAGGCCAAGGACGGAGGCTGCCCGCTGCTGGATGCGAGAGGAGTGCCTGGCCTTCCATGACCAGGTATACTGAAGGGGCCCAGACACACACACACACACACACACACACGCACACACACACACACACGCACACACACACACACACACACACACACACACACACACACACACACACACGCACATAAATACACAGAAATCCCAGGATTCCCCATGTGTTTCCATATTTGTTGATTGTTCTTGTCTTCCCCACCACTTCCCCTATTTTCGCATATGTTCTAGGGGATCGACGATTAATTGTGTCTGCGTGTGTTTTCCCCTCCTGGAATACGGGAGCGACCTACCACCCGGCGGGATACACACCGAAGCACCCCCTGGGACGGCAGGCGTGCCGCGCTCGCGGACATCATCGCCTGGGGGGTGTCGGGCAAGGGCAGGCCTAAGTCGGGCGCGTCCCCCTAAAAGCGGACTTTGGGCGAGAATTCAACAATACTCAAAGAATACCCCAAAGGAGTCGGAACAAATGCTGAAACATCGTCCCCAGACTATGTTTTACTATGTTAGAATATTCCTCCTGTAGAAGAACAGGCCCGACTTAAGCCTGGCCTTCCGTGACCAGGCATACGGCAACGACACACCACCCAGCGGGATACCCACCGAGCACTCTCTGGGACGGCAGGCGTGCGCTGCGCTTGCGGGCAGCATCGCCCAGGGTGTGTGTCGGGCAAGGGCAGGCCCAGAGCGGTCGACAACCAGCTCAAGAACAGGCCTGGCAGAGCATCCCGGCAGCCCAGGCCACGAGCAGGTGATGATGATGACGATGATGACGATGATGATGATGATGATGATGATGATGATGATGATGATGATGATGATGATGATGATGATGATGATGATGAGGATGAAAAGGAGGAGAAGGAGGAGAAGGAAGAGAAGGAGTAGAAGGAGGAGAAGGATGAGGAGGAGGAGAAGGAGGGGGAGGAGGAGGAGGAGGAGGAGGAGGAGGAGTAGGAGGAGGAGGAGGAGGAGGAGGAGGAGAGGGAGGAGGAGGAGGAAACTGAAAGGGAGGATAACGAGGAGGAGGAGGAGGAGGAGGAGGAGGGAACTGAATAGGAGGAACAGGAGGAGGAGGAGGAGGAGAAAACTGAAAAGGAGGAGAAGGAGGAGAAGGAGGAGGGGGAGGAGGAGGAGGAGGAGGAGAAGGAGGAGCAGGAGGAGGTGGAGGAGGAGGAGGAGGAAGAGGAGCCCTTCGGAGAAACCCTCCAAACCAGAGCAGCAAGTCGCTGGGGATTCGGTGGAGCTTTGCCGACCAGAGTCGCTGCCAGGGGACGCCCAAGCCGGCCAGCGAGGGGCGCCCCGGCCGGGGAGCCGACCGAGCGGCCCCAGCGCCGGCCGGCCGAGAAGAGCACTGCCGGCGGGCCCGGCGCCAGCCGTCCGCGAGGTGCTGCTGACACAAGAAAGCGGGCACAGGAGCAGGGGCCCCAGTGTTCCCAAAAATCCAACGGATAGAAAACATCAAGACGTAGGTTTTCTCAATTTGCGGCCTCGAGGGGCCCTCGCCGGGCCCCGGGACCGTCAGAAAACGGCTAAGGATGAGAAGCCGTCCCAGGGAATGGGTCGAGACCCCTTGGGGTCGACGTCGCGAAAAAATCATGACGTCGGGGGACTGGGAGGAGAGCGGGCACAGGAACAGGGGCCCCAGCGTTCGGATGTTCCAGCAGAAACGAGGTTTGAGGGTTTTCACGTGTCGGGCCCTGGGAGGCGATACTCGTTCGGCACTGTTTCGATGCTTTTCTGGGTGCTCGAAATTATCTATGGGATGTGGCCCTTTACTACGATGGGAGCAACATAAGACTGGGGGTATGATTGGTGGTTGTGGGGGGCCTACATGTCCACCAAGGATGACGCGAGTGACGCGCGTGCCGCCTGCTGGTACGCGCTGCCCGATGAACAGGGAGATCGTCTCTTCCCAGACGCAGCCACAGGGATAGCCCTGGGACCGGTCGAGCAGGTGCACCCAGGCACCCACGTCACCATCCGCATTGGCCGCTCCTGGCTAATATTAGGTCGGGCGTGTCCTCCAGCAGGGGGATTTTGGACGAAAAATTAAGAATAGCCAAGAAGTGTTCAAACAAAATCAAAAATAGTGAAACAGCTTCCCCATTTTTTACCGAACAGTTTTTTTTCTGATAGGTTTCTAGTAGGGTCAAAAGAGAACATAATGACTCCTCAGGGGGGTCTGGGCGGGTGCCGGGGAGGAGAATCGGGAATCGTTTTTCGCAAACACTTACACACTTCGTGCTCTTCGACCTCCCAAAGCTCCATTCCCGGGACACATATTCTGGAGAACCGGGAACCGAGCCGGGCTCGCTTTTCGCAAACAGTCACACACTTTGTGCTTTTCGACCTCCCAGAACTCCATTCCCGGGCCACATTCTGAATGCCCGGAGCCAACTGTAGGCCACTTCGTGCTCTTCGATTTCCCAGAACTCCACTCCTGGGCCACATTGTGGATGCCCGGTGCCAACTGTAAGCCGCTTTGTGCTCTTCGACTTCCCAGAACTCAACTCCCGGCCACATTTTGGATGCCCGGAGCCAACTGTAAGCCACTTCGTGATCTTCAAGTTCCCAGAACTCCATTCCCGGGCAATATTTTGAATGCCCGGAGCCAGCTGTAGGCCACTTCGTGTTCTTCTAGTTCCCAGAACTCCGCTCCTGGGCCACATTTCGAATTCTGAGGCAGGCTGATGCTGCGCCCGAGGCAGGCTGAGGCTGATGCAGGCTGAGGCTGAGGCCGAGCCTGAAGGCAGACTGAGGCTGAGGCTGAAGCAGACTGAGGCTGAGGCTGAGGCAGGCTGAGGCTGAGGCTGAGGCAGGCCGAGGCTGAGGCAGGCTGAGGCTGAGGCTGGGGCTGAGGCTGAGGCTGATGCAGGCTGAGGCTGAGGCAGGCTGAGGCTGAGGCCGAGGCTGAAGGCAGACTGAGGCTGAGGCTGAAGCAGGCTGAGGCTGAGGCTGAGGCAGGCTGAGGCTGAGGCAGGCTGAGGCTGAGGCTGAAGCAGGCTGAGGTTGAGGCTGCGACTGCGACTGCAGTTGCCGCTGCGACTGTCATCGCGAATGCGACTACGACTGCGAGAACAGCAGAATTCTGCAAGAGGGTTTTCATCTGAATCTTAAGGGGAATGCTTTCGTATATGCTTCTACACATCGCTGTTAGGTTGCTTTGCTGGGATAAGTTTGACGATCTTACCTAACAGCGAAGACTGGTAAGTTTCTAGTGGGCTCAAAAGGGAACATCTTGACTCCCCGGAGGGGGTCTGGGCAAA